TTATTGTTATAACATGATTTATTTATTTTGTTGAAATTTCCAGACAAATTATTCTTTTATTCTTTATTCTTTATTTTAACTTTATTTTTAAAAATAAAGATGATCTTTATCTTTATTTTATAAATATAAAGATTCACTTTATCTTTATTTTTAAAAAAATAAAGATTTCTTTATTTCTTTATCTTTATTTTTAAAGTAAAGATTATCTTTATTCTTTATAAAATAAAGATAAAGTAAATTTTTATCTTTATTTTTAAAGTAAAGATAAAGTAACACGCCTAGTTGATTCGTCATGGACTAGTAAGGATAAACACAAAGAAAAGCATAATACAAATTATATCTAAAAGTTTTTAATTGCTGTCCTTACAAAGAAGGATTCTATGAGGACTTTGGCTTGGAATATTCCATTTAGGTGTGTCACCATCAGTAACTGTGTAATAAAAATCTTTGTGTGTCATAAAATAAGTAACAAATTCATTACGATGTTTAACCACGTCATCTCTTTCATGTCCTTCAAAATATGGCCGTTGCGAATTCGATTCGAATTTAGCTCCCCATCTACGAAGATCCAGGCGACAACTGCATTCCGATCTTATCAAATCATCACCAATTTGCTTTTTAATTCCAGTTAATTCATAATATTTTGTATCAATAAATTGAGCCAGATCTATCGCTTTGAAATCTCCTGACTTTTGCGAACATGCTTGAACGACGAATGATCTAGCATCTATTTCGATTTCGGGAAACGTGTCATAAAATGAATCAAATTGTTTACCGCCACGTAAATCATTTGAAAACTCCTCATAATCGCCTCTGATAAATACGGTTGCCCATTTATGAGAAGTTTCCGCCGTCATAAAACCAATTTTTTTCAAAAAGTCATCAACACCTTCCCATTTGATGTTGAAGAAACGTAATGACATATAGAGTAAAGTGCTAAGATATTTCGTGTCACATTTTGACTTGCACATTTCAGCAACATCACTAATGTCGGTCAGAAGAAGTTTTTCATTAAAAGGTAATTCCTTATCATCAATATCCATGCTATATTCTTCATTAGATGACTCGCTTGAAGATGAAACCTTTCCACTTGACCAGCGATGAGATAATGCACTTTGTGCTTGATTTCTTCTTTTGCTTCCTCTAGGCATACCTAAACTGCTTTACTTCAGGTACAAAAGTGGTTATCTTAAAGAAACAAACGTGATACTGTCGTTTCGGATTATAACATGTCTTTTTAAGAACACGGTTTCCAGAGACCCTTTGAAGACCCTCCAAAGATCTCGAAAATATGTTCATTCGACTCGCCATCAGTTTTTACCTATTTGAAGCAATTTTCAGTCGGTTTGAAG